TTTTTTTTTTTTTTTTTTTTTTTTTTGTAAATAGCTCTTGCTATAGTGTACCAGAATTAGTTATTTCCTTCTTGGGAACCACGCCTGAGCACCAGCATTCTGGATCAGAGCAGGCAGCTTGCTTCCAAAGCGGATTAAAGTGTCGCCCAGGCAGCTCTGGGAAGTGAGAAAAGTCACAGKATGTCAGACACATTCTCACAGCGAATCCAGCCCTCCCCAGCACGGGCACCTCCGTCGGCCAGACGCRCGCTCCCGTTTAGGCCAACTTTGCATCCACAGACTCTCAGAGGAGAGGATTCAGTTGCATGCCCCGCTACAGCTGTATGTCTCGTGTGTGTGAAAGCCTGTATGTTTTTGCAGGCAGCTTCAGAATATGAAACATACTCCCGCTCAGTCAGGTTTAATGGAAAGGTAATTAGAAAAGGATTCTTCTCCTCACATGTGCTCRTTTCAGGCATTTCTATTATTTCCTCAGCATCCTTAGAGTCACCCTTCCATTCCCAGCCTCATTTCCACACAGCCCCCTTTGCAGAGCACGTACGCAGCAACAGGAGGGCCGTAAGCAGCGAGTTCAGCCTCGCGAGGGGCGCGTTTCCCCGCACCCATTCGTGACACGGGTTTCGCTCCCTACACTCACACACCGGAGGGCAAACGCGTGCCCTTAGGGCCGGCCTGCGGCAGCCCTCAGTTGGAGGGCTGACCTCTCCGCACAGCCCTGGGGTTTCTCCGCTCTTGAGAGCCAACATCAGTAGATCAGCACTGGAGAATCAGAGCCCGGCTTCAAGGCTGTTGCTTTCCCTGAGGTTTTTGTTAACTCTGCCTCCCCTTCGTGTCCTTTAGCATAACCTGGTGCTTGCTGTGGCCTTTGGTGCCGGCCAGCCCAGCGCAGCCCCCGTCTGTCCAGCCCCRCTTCCCATGCGGCAAGAGCTGCACGGAGACAGACGCTGGGCGCTGCCGGTTCCCTTCTCTCAAGCGGCACTGCGGAGCCTCCATCTCCAGGCCCCGCGGAGGAGAATCCGCCTCCCTCCCCATCCGCCCTGCCCTGGCGGGGCCGAGGTGAAACCACCCCCTACCGAAATAGGCTGAGCGGAGCCAGGAGCTCCRCCGTCACACACACTTTGGAGCACTACGGTGACTGCAGCTCGCTGGAGGAGCCGCGCTGGGGRTGGACTTGGTCAGCCCATTTGCCTTGGGCACACACAGAACCGGTGAGATGGGAACACACAGTCAAGCGTCAGCAATGTCATAAATGCACAAGTCAGGATGCACGAACTGCAGAAAAAGTTGGGATTTTTTTTTTGGTTAAATGTAATAAATAGAGAGGAAATTAAAACAAATTATCTTAGTTTCCTGCTGGGACGCTTTTTTTTTTTTAAATGCAAAAACATTTTAGGTTATTGTAGTTACAATGAAAACTCCACATTGAGTTTTTTGAATGTAAATGTGCCTCCTTCTTGTAAGAGTTAAATAAAAGCAGTATTTACAAGTTTCCTATTTCAGGTTGTTTTGGCGTATCTTCATTATTTTCACTGTGCAAGACTTGTTCTAATGGTCAGATGACTGACTTAAGAGTCTGTAGTAACAGTATCAACAAAAAGGATTACCAGAGATTTAATGTGCTGTCCGAGTAGGAATCTGTATTCTTTAGATAAATGTTTAAACTTATTGTTTAATATCACCTGAAGAAGTTTAGCTTGGCTTAGAACTATGTACAGAAAAATGGAGCTCAGGGAGAGAAACTTATTGACTATTATCAATTCTCTTTCTGCAGATGTATTTAATGGTATTTTTAAGCATAATTATTTCAGCAAGGGCTTCTTAGTGTTTGCACAGGACAGCTGGAACCCACTTTGTGCTTCTTCCACTCCTGTGCACCAAGTGTTATAAATCATTACATTTCCTAGTCTCTAGACCAAAAAATATAGAAGACGACTTCTTCTACGTAGACCAGACTATAGCCTAAAAGCCTAGTCATGGAATTGGTTCTCATTTACTCTAAGGCAACTTTATGCCTACAGACCTGATCTAAGGTTCCTTTATACCACTCAAAGTATACAGTGCTTAGATAAACAAGAATTGGTCATAACTCCATCTAACAGTTAACAAGATTTACTAACTGGTCTCTCCAGAGATGGAGATGATGGAAGGGGAAAGGAGGTGCTTCTTCGGAGCAAGATGTCTAGACCATATCCTTTTAACTGTCCCTGGGTGAACGTAACTAGCTAGTTTGGGTGCAAACACTTTCACTGTCGCTGCTTTCAGGTTGACTTCTAGAGCTGCCATCTTCAAAGATTAGGGCAGGCCAATGTGGCAGACACTGTGGCGAGTGTCTTCTACAGGCCACCTGATCAGGATGAGGAAGTTGACGAGACCTTCTACAGGCAGCTAGAAGTTGCCTCACAGTCACAGGCCTGGGTTCTCATGGGGGGTGCTTTAACTTCATTTCCATGGGAACTTGAGAAAAAAWTTCTGTGAGGGTGACAGAGCCCTGGCACAGGCTGCCCAGGGAGGTTGTGGAGTCTCCTTCTTTGGAGGTTTTCAAAACCCACTTGGATGCTGCCCTGTGCCCCGTGTTCTGGGTGACCTCACATGTGCAGGGAGAGGTTGGAGTAGATGATCTCTAGAGGTCCCTTCCAACCTTAAGCATTCTGTGATTCTGTGATTAGGAGAGGCCAAGTTCCAAGTTCAGACGGTTCAATCCCAGTTGCCACCGAGCCATGGCTGACGGCGGGACTTCCATTAGAGGCATTAGCTGTAAAAACATCTTGATGTCTCGGCAAACTCTGTGCCAAAATAACCACCTTGACTTGGGAGCATTTCCATATGCCAAGCAGAACAGTACCCATGTGCCCAAAAATTGGATTCAAGGACTCTTTTTCTGACCACAGTTGGGGAGCAACAATTCTGAGCTTGCTTCCTGCTATTTCAAATAGCTTATTACCTGACATATCAGTGCAAAGTGCCAGAGTGTCACAAAGTACAGACAATATTARCAGTCCCTACAATTACTTTTTCCTCAGGTAATGTTTTCCATCATGTTTGGAAATCATTTTAAGTACTACTAATCATACATATGTATGTATATCCTAAAATCTTTTGGCAACATTATTGTACAACCATTGGAAAATAAAAGGAGCAACTACAGAAACCTCCATCTAGACTAGCTAAGAACACATAACACTCGCTGTTAACATTTCTAGCGACATAACTATAAAGTGACTGTAGTCCCATTAAACTGATTGTATCCTTTTGCATACAGTGGGTATGTTTCGGTGGGAATATGTAAATAAGCAGCAATCTTAAACTTATTTTAAGCAAAGGAGCGAGGAACTTGTATGCTGCTCATAGACCTTCCCATTAAATTAATCAAGTGGTTACAAATCCACAAATTGTTTTCCAAAACAAAAACACACATACCAAAAAACAAAAACAAACAAAAAAACCCACCTTTTTCCCCTTCCCATTCCCCTTCCCATAGGTAATTGTAGCATCTCAACAAATGAGTGGGAAAAGAAAACAAAAAACACCACACACACAAAAGTAACAAGAAATTAGGATCATGCAACATCGGTTTGTGGGGCCACAGATTTGTCATTGAGGATATGAACACCATCAGAAACAAGCATATAAAGCAGCTAAAATGAAACCATGTCCAAAGCCATCTCTCCATAGGTAGCTTGGTTCATTCTGGGAAAGCCACACACATGCAAAAGTATCTTTACATAAGCAAAGTTTGCAGAATTAACGTTTTCAAACACAAACATTAACACAGAAGTGCCCTATGCTGCAGTCTGTGCCAGGGCATTTTCAAGGTAACACACTGCTTTGTTTCAGCTTCCCAAAGCATCTGGATTTTGGAAGCACCACAGAGGTGAAAAGCYGCCACCAGCAAAGGACACTGGAAGAGCAAGACTGTCTCCTCAGAAACCAAACAGAAGCAACAGAAACAAGACGTCTGAGAGACTTGCTTTGAATCTTCTCAGACCTCAATACTTCCATTTAAAGCAATGCCCTGTTTCCTAACCCTCATTAGGGAGCTGCATTTCCYTTCTACCTATTTTAAGATTAAAAAAAGTCCCTCTACAGCACCCTGTAGTAACTAAAGCTGCCTACCTGCCTTTTCTAGAGAGAGGCCCAGAATCAACCTCATTCTTTCCAGAGATTTGCTCAAGCTTGCTCTGTTGATCTCTTCCCCACGCCTTGGGCACAGCACTGGAGCTCTACAACAAGGCTGTGCCCCTGCACAGGTAAATGTGAAGCATGTAGCACGAGCCACAGAGCTGCAGCACAGTATTTACAGAACTTACAGAACTTTATCCACACTACCATAAATAAGGTAACAGTTTATTAAAGACAGGGTTTTTACTGCTAGTGTGTACAGCGCATACTTTATGACACAGATTAGATCGTGCCTGATTTTTGTGAGCTCAGAGTAGCACAGAAAATACAGAGCACTTTGCTTAAAATATAAACCACAGGAAACTACAATTCATCTACAAAACAGCCAGTATTTCTAGGTGCAGTGTTGCTTACCTTTCCAGAAAAGGGTTGGCTCTCCCATTAGAAAGGATTTTTTTTTTTTCCTACCATCAAATTCTGGTAGGACTCCTAAGAACTGAAACCATTAACRAAAAAGAGAGGAGAAAGGGGGACAGGGCACATAAAATAATAAAAGTGAAGTGAGCTGTTGTTAGAGCAAGCCTTAACCTTCTGTGGCCCATCATGGGCTGCAGGATCATCCCCAACAGCTACTTTCACACTCCTGCTAAGTAAGTTCATTAAAAAGTGACGTTCTTCCCTTTGAACTCTGGGCAGAAGGCAGCCT